TGATCAATAGAATGTCAATAATAAAGGTAGAAATAAATCGTTTTAATGTCAGATCTGTCCAAACCTATTCTGATGTCTGTGACTTTACTTTGATGATTATATTTCCTAGAAATATGCCTGAGCAGGAGATGCAGTTACTCTTATAAACACAGGCTGTCGATGTTCACTTTGTATTACACACACTTCAAGGGCTTGAAAGGTTAAGAAAAGCTTACAGTTTTGCTTAATGCAAGCACACACGTGGAAATACAGTTTCAACTTCTTTATCCACTTGAACTCTGTAAGCACAAAGATGGCTAAGTGGTTTTCAGGGTTTTGACATAACTCATTGCTGCAAACACTGGTTTAAACTTCTCCATTAGTGAAGTTTTGTGAGTAGTAGAGAATGTCAGTCCATCTTTCCTGAAGCCAGTTTATCAGAATTGTCACAGAACCACAGAACAATCAGAAGCAGAAAGGACCCTTGAGGAACATGGAGTCCAACTCCTGGCCCTGCACAAGACATCCCTGAGAATCACATCCTGTGCCTAAGAGCATTGTCCAAACACCTCTTGAGCTCTGTCAGGCTTGGGGCTGTGACCACAGCCCTGGGGAGCTGTTCCAGTGCCCAAACACCCTCTGGGGGAAGAACCATTTTCTAATATCCATCCTAAACCTCCCCTGACACAACTTCAGACCATTCCCTCAGGTCCTGTCACTACTTGCCAAAAAGAAGAGGTCAGTGCTGCCCCTGCACTTCCTTCCATTGGGAAGTTGTCATTGATATGGTTTCATCATTATGTACTCTCCTGGTATTTCAAAATGCTCTGCACACATACTGCTCTTAAATGACTAGTCATGGAGATGTTGCCATTTTAGATTAAGATATTATGATTCTTTTGCCATACATTCATATATTTAAGTTTTAGTCATAATGATGGTTATGTTTGATGACTTGGAATGTAATAATAGCAAAAAAGAAATTCCAGCAACCTTAAAGATAATGAATTGACTACTAAGAAACATTTACCAGCTTTATACAAGTTTAGTCAGCCAAGAATTGAACACAGTTAATTAACAGTGCACTCTCTTTTATGGTCTTCAGGCTTGAATAAATTATTAGGACAAAAGCTAAGCTGCAATTTCAGTTCTGTAAGGTGCTGGTTTTCTTATAGCTCTACCACAGCAAGGGTTTAGGTTTAGAATTAAAGAAAATAGAAAGGAGATCTAACCAGATCTGAACAGAAAATCCAAAACTTGAATCTGTGTCCTTTTCTCATTTAAAGCCTGAGAAACTTGAATTGCCCAGCTCTTTCCATGCTTGCTCTGCTCCTGGGGGTGTCTACACTCCTGGTTCATAAGAACCCCAGCATTTCCAGGTATAAGCAAATAATTTCCCTCATCCTGTTTATGCCCAGGTTGAATGTAGAAAATGGACAGGTTCCATCATCTCACAGGAGGTCTAGAAAACAGATAAGCTCTGAGCAATTCTTGTACACATTAAGAGAGTGTATATTACTTTTACTAAAATGTCATTGTAGTACTTCTTATTTTTAAAATAATACTCAAACTTTATATAAAAATCTTTGCAATTAGAGTATGTAAACAGTGGCATGCCAGAATCAAATCCCTACATCCACCATTCATAAGCGTGCTAAAAGCACTAGGTCAGGTGGATTTATGCCACCCTGTCGTATAAAATGGGAGATTTTAAGAGCCAGATAGAGTGTGATGTAGTGTACTGCCTAGGATGCCTATTTAGAGAGGAAATCTCTAAAGACTCTGCTCCCTGTAGCAAGCACTGGCTCTGTGTTTTGCATTTAACAGCCGGTGAGTGATAAATAACTTGGCTGTGAAAACATCAAATGGTGTTCTCCTTCCTGGCTGAGTGGTTTTAATTCAATAGCTAATAACAAGTAAATAACCTGTGGACACTGGCATAGACCCAATGTCTATCTCTGAACTCTGGTCATGGAACTGTACCCCCGCAGAAGACAGAAGGAGAGCAGACTGAGGGAGATGCCTCCTGTGAAGTAGGAACAATGCCAATATTACTAACTGAGAAAAATAAGGCAATAAAAAGATGAGGAATCACTGCACCAATCACCTGGTTATCAAATGCAAGACAAAACTAGGCAATGATAGCATTAATTCGGTGTTTATTTTTCAAAGTGTTTCAGGGTTTTTTTAAGCGAATGATGCTTAGTTAACTTCCTTCATTCTCTAGATCAGGGTGGAGCCAGTCTGTAGCCCTGTGTAGGG